CCCTCCCTCCCTCCCTCCCTCCCTCCCTCCCTCCCTCTTTATTCCACCTACCAATCCATCCTTCCATCCTCCCACTCACCCTGGCCTCACTCCCAGTACTAGCCCTTGGCCTCCTCAGGCCAGTGCTTTGCCTGTGTCCCCAGCAGCTCCTGTGTCAGGAGTCAGTGTGGGCAGAGGGTACAGTGAATGCCTACTAAAGTGATGGCCTAGTTAACCTCCACGTCCAAGGTCACTGTGGGGACATTATGTGGCCAAGTCGTGAGAGGTGAGCACACAGGGCTCTCTGTGGCCATTCTGCAGTGCTGCTGACTAGCCTCGTCTCTGCCTGCTGCAGAGTGGACTACCTGGGTACCACAGCATTCTCCCCAGAGGCCTGTCACCCTTGGGAGCCCCCAGAGACTCAGCTGAGTGGAGAAAGCCTAGCTCTGGAGGGCAGAGGGATGGAAGGTTCTTGGGATGAAGTGTCCCCTGCACAAGTGTTTAATTATCCTATCACAGGACAGTAACTGGGCTTTAGGATTTTAATAATTATTAATAGAGTGTTCAATAATGAATTACCGTGAACAATTAAAATTAATTACTGTTCTCAGAGTTAATTAAATTATTCCCCTCACTAGGACAAGTGGCTAAGCACACATAAAAATTAAAGGCCAGTGCCACAAGTATGCAGGAACCCTGTGCCACGGTGAGTGAGGCAGGGTGCCCTTCCCCCTCTGGCCAGGGGGAGGCATTGAGTGAACAGGCTGGAGGCTTGGCAGTGGCAGACCTGGTGGGTCAACCTCAGGCTGGCTTCTACCAGAACCGCTTCCTCCATCAGGCCCAGCTCCTCTAGTTCTCCTTTCCTCCCTCCCTTCTCCTCCCCAATTTCTGTTACTGTCCGTCTCTTCTCTCTTGCCCATGGGTCAGGGCTGCCCCTGCTGGGAACAGGTGAGTTCACACCCTGTCCCTCGTGGAGTTCATGGTTCAGGAGACCTAGCACTGTATGAATTTATGAGAGCCAGTGGCTGGGATTGACTGTGCATGCATGTGCCCGTTTGTGTGTGTCTGTATGTGTGCATTTGTGTGCGTGTGTGTGCATGAGTGGTTGTATGTGATGGGTGTGTGTAGTAGTTTTGTGTGTGTATGTGTGTGTGGTATGAATGCGTGAGTTACGTGTATGTGTAGTTGGTCTGGTGTGCATGTGTGTGTGTATGTGTGGTATGTGCATGCATTGTGGTGCTCGTGGAGTGGTGTGTGTGATGTGAGTGGTGTGTGTGATGTGAGTGGTGTGTGTGTGGTGTGCAGGTGTGTGTATGTGAGTGCTTGTGTGTGTGGTATGTACGTACTTGCATTGTGGTGCACATGTGAGTGGTTGTGTGTGATGTGAGCGGTGTGTGTGTGGTGTGCAAGTATGAGTGATTGTGTGTGCAGTGGGTGTGGTGTGCAGGTGTGTGTATGTGAGTACTTGTGTGTGGTATGTGCTTGCATTGTGGTGCGCATGTGAGTGGTTGTGTGTGATGTGTGTGGTGTGCATGTATGTGTGCTGTGTGCATGTATAAGTGATTGTGTGTGCAGTGGGTGTGGTGTGCAGGTGTGTGGATGTATGTGAGTGCTCGTATATGGTGTGTATGTGAGTAGTTGCATGTGATCTGTGTGTGAGTGGTGTGTGTTGCACGTGTCTGTGCATGTCTTACTTCCTTCTGGACACCGGGTCTCTCCTGAACCTGGAGCTAGGCTGTTAGGCATCCAGCCTCTGGCTCTGGAAGTTTCCTTCCTGCTGAGCCATCTCCTCAGCCCCAGACTGCCACCAGCACGACCTGGAGCAAGACTGGCTCTCCAAAGCCCCTCCCTTCATTCCTGAAGGGCAGTGACTGCAGAGCTACGGGGAGACTGAGGACTCCAGAACTACATGGATTAATCGCTGGGTAGCTGTGGTGACTGTCACCTTCCCTGCTGGCTGCTCGGTGACGTCGGCACCTTGGCGAGGGAAGCACACACTTCAGGTCTGTTAGGGTTGGAGCAGCGTTGCAGACCCCCCTCAGCCAAAGGCCACACGAATGAGGCTTCATAGACACTGTTAATCAAGCCTGGACACAGCCGTGACTGGGACATGGCGACTAGAACCACAGGGGAGCTGAGCAGGCTGTTCTCTGTGTCCCAGTTCACACCTCCACAAGGCAGGTGGGCCTTCTGGCTTTAAACCAGAGCTGTATTGGGGCCATTCGTCACTCAGCGCTGGAAGACAGACAGAAGCATTGGTTCTGGTTGTGGGGGAAAGCGGTCCTGGTGGGTTCTTTGACCCTGGAAGGTCAAGCCTGTGGTTTGAAAAGCCAGAACAGAAGGAGGGTGCGGGGCCGCCGAGGAACTCACATTAGTGATCTGATCATTTATTCGTTTATTGCACCCCAGGTTCAGGGCCAAGGGCAGCTCCACGATTAGTCATTGAATCCTCTCAACATCCCTACAGGTCATACCATGATTATGCTAATTTCAGAGATAAGAAAATTGAGAAGGACCGAAAACCCAGCTCCGTATCGCACAGCTAATGGGTCAGGTGCAATGGAGCAGTGTCTGAGATCTCTGGGGGGAGGTGGAGCTGCAGGATCCAGGAGGGTAGCATAGAGAAGAAGAGCCGTGTGTGGAGCCATGTGCCTGGAATAACAGAAGGAGGAGGAACCCAGGGGCTCCTGGCCATGCTGCTGTGGAGCCCAGGGTGGAAGGTGGTTCCCCTGAGCTGGGGAAGCAATAGTTGGGGCAGGCTTGGGGAAGGGGAAGGAGGTCCTGGTGTGTCCTAGATGTTGAGGGGTGTCTGAGTAGGGGCCTCTCTGGTTCCTGTGCCTCTTGTCTATCCCAGCAAGTGTGCTGCGCTCATCAGCAATGTGATTTTCCACAGTCATTCTTGCTTCCCTGGCATTCTCCAGATGCAGCTCAGGGTCTTTGCCTGTGATCCCCACTGTCTACCCTGTCTCTAAATCCACTTCCCTGTTCCCATGCCAGATATGAAACCGTGCTGTCCCATGGAACAGGATGGACAGCCAGGGTCATGTGGGTAGCCCGCCCACCACTACGTCCTTAGGTCCTGATGTCTCTAAGTATCGAGTGTTCATGGCTTGGCCTACAGTGGTGCACTGGGATGTCAACAGACATTCTTGAGCCTGAGGTACAGCCTGGAGTGGGAAGCATGCCTGACAGGGAGCTCAGGACTGAGATGGACCTGAAGCTATCCTCTGATTAACAGCCTCCCACTCCTTGTCCCACCCAATGGTCCCAGGCCTGGCTAACTGTTAGATGCACATTTACCAGGATCACGGCACATAACCAAGGCAGAGAGACCACAGGGATCCTGGATCAGGCTCTCAAGGCAGAGAGACCATGGGCATCCTGAATGAGGATCCCAAGGCAGAGACCCCATGGGCATCCTAGATCAGGCTCTTTGCATCCCCTACCCGGTTGAGATGCCTGCTTTTGATTCTGTCTCCTCTGCCTCTAATCGCTCTGTAACAATTGGCCCAGCCCCATCTGGCATCAGTCCAGTCCATGTAAGGATCCCAGGATGAATTCATTAGTTAATTTCATTGTCTCTGTAACAAAATGCCTGACGAAAGCAGTGGAAGGGAGGAAGGCTTCTTCTGGCTCACAGTTTGAGGGCACAGTCCGTCGTGGCAGGAAGTCATGCAGCGGGGATGTGAGGCAGCGGGTCCTGTTGCATCCAGTAAGGAAGCAGAGAGTGATGACTGCTTGTGCTCAGCTTTCTCTTTTTTTTTTTTGTCTTTATTGACTTTATTTTAGTTTTTGTACACAAAGAAAAATCATGTTCATCTCCATCATGAACAAAAACTTAAAAAGGCAGAACTAGAAGACACGTGTCCTTCCCCGGGCAAAGCTGTGCTAAGGGTTCCAACATTTCAATTGTTAAAATAAATATTCTCACTTCCGATGTTTACTTTTCATGTCTTCAAAGTGTCATACGAAATTGCAGCCTATGGTGAGTTATAACTGTGTTTAGAGTCCCAGCTCACTGTGTTGGGAAACTGGCCATTCCATAACCAGCTTGGTTTGGAGGAGGTATTACAGGAGGAGGAGCTTGTCCTTGAGGAGGCTGAGCACCAAATCCACCCATCCAAGCAGCAGAAGGTGATTGATCTACTCCGAATCCTTGTTGGTTCCATGGATGCCCATAGACTCCGTAGGGAGGTACTTGCCACCCATTTGCCATATACTGCCCATACTGCTGTGGGTTTCCATACACTTGGCTCCACTGGCCCCACTGACTGTAGTCAACCTGTTGGAAGTTTTTAGTCATATCAGGAGATTCTTTACCCCAATAGCATTTAACCACATGTCCTTCAATTGGTACTGTACCGTTAACAGAGACAATGGCATGGGCTGCACTTTCATGAGTTGAAAATCTGACAAATGAATAGCCCTTCTCTGGAAAAACTCGAATTTCCATAATTTGTCCAAATGGTGAAAATGTTTGTCTCATAAGCTGATCTGTTAGCCCAGAAGCAATTCCTCCACAGTACACAGTACAATTTTTTGGACTTGACTGGTTTACTACATCTTCAAATCTCAACTGCTTAGTGTTAGTTTCCTGTGTACTTTTAGGGGCAGGTGGTTTACGTGTGGCCCAATTGGTTCTGATTTGTCGACCTCCCAACCACTGGCCCCCCATGTGCACAATTGCATTTTCTGCATCCAGTTTGTTATAAAAAGATACAAAACCATAGCCTTTGGACTTTCCGGTTGCCATGTCTTTAACTACCCGGGCATCCGATATTTTACCAAAGGGGGCAAATGCTGATTTGATATCTTCTGTTGTAATTTCTGGACTCAAATCCCCAACAAACACATGGAAGTGATTGGAAGTATCTTTTTTCTGGCTACTTGGTGTTGTTGCCCAGTTTACTTTGACCTCCTTTCCCAAAATTTTTCTGCCATTCATAGCAGCTAATGCAGCAGCTGCATCTCTGTGTTCATAAAATTCCACAAAGCAATATGGATCATTGCTTGTATGCTCTGTTATCATTTTACAGCTTTTACAGGGTCCGATCTGACTGAATAACTGGAGTATAAGGACTTCTGTCACATCTCTGGAGAGGTTACCTACGTATAGAGTCCGGGGCTGTCCGTCGTCTTCCATCATGGTGGGTGCGACGGAGTGATCCCGGGACAAGGGGGAGGGGAGGGCTGGGGAGGGGAGGGGGTGGGAAGGAAGGGGAGGGGGCTCCGGGCTCCGGCCGGGGACAGAGGAAAAGGTACTGAACCCCACTCTCGGTCCGCTCCCCCCAGCCCGCTCCGGACACTGCGCTCCAACCAGGAGGAGCAGGAGGAGCCTCAGCTTTCTCTTATTCAGTCCTGAATCCCAGCCCATGGGGATGGTGCTGCCCACATTCAGGGTGGATTTTCCCATCTTAGCCTCATCTAGAAAGTCCTTCTCAGGCATGCCCCCTGGTGCATTTCCATATTGACTCTAAAAGTTTGCCAAGCTGGCAAGATTAACTATCATAACAGATGCCCGGGTCAGGTAGGCACACCCTCACCAGTGCTGGCAGAGAGCAGCCACCCATGTGACAGAGCTGTGCCCAGAGAGCCTTCAGATAACAGTGTGAAGGCAGGGCAGCCTTGGAGCAGAGCCTTAGGAGGAATTGATAGTGCTGGAGACATTCTTGTGCTCCACCATTAGGAGTAAGACGTAGTGACATTTGGTGAGTCGAGGCCGGGGAGGCTGCTAAACCTTACAAGGTACCGTATGCCCCCACTACCACCACAAAGAGTGACCCTGCTCCGAGCCCCACAGTGCTCAGACTGGGAAGCCCTCTGCTGAGGTCCAGTGCCTCTGTTCAAGGTCTTGGAGATTTGCAGGGCTCTTTGTGGATGCGGCGTCTCCAGCCCTAACCAGAGCGCAGAATCCCGGGGAGAAGAAGACATCCAGTAGTGGGCGGGTGGGGGTGGAACAGTGGTACCCACATCCCCCTACCCTGTGTCTAGCTGGGTATCCTGGAAGAGCTGCAGTGGGAGGCTTTGAGGGTGGTGTCCAGGCCACTCCGACCCCCCACAGACTCTTTTTATTATTTTCTCATCTGGGGTCTTTGGATTCAGTCAGCATGAGCGTTTCCACCGCGTACTCTGGTGTGTCAAGCATTGTGACTTCATTTTGCTACTCAGGAGTTGAATTTCTGTCTCCAACTCCCTTTCTGCCCGAGGGCAAGAAATGTAATCTCACAGAATTCCAGCAGAGCTCAGTCATGTCAGCGTAAGCTCAGTCCGGGCAGACGTGGACTTCCCTCCATTCTCATGGTGGGGGTGGGCAGGTTCATGGTAGCCCTACACCTGCAGGCAGTGCATGTACCTGTTGGCAGCCAGTGTCCCAGGAGCCTCTGCAGATGACAGGGTTCAGGCCAGCTCTGGGCAAGTCAGCTCCTCCTCAAGGTGCCAGGAATTAGGATGTTTTGTGTCTGTCTCTCTGGAACAACACTGGAGGAGAGTTCCCCCCACCTCTCCAATCCCTCCTCCCCCATCTCTCCAGTCCCTCCTCCCCCACCTCTCCAGTCCCTCCTCCCCACTTCTCCAGTCCCTCCTCCCGTTGCTCTCCCTCTTTCTCCCTTCTGCCACCTTTTTTCTTCTTCCTCCATTCCCTCCTCTCCTGTATCTTCTCCCTCTCCCTCCTTTATCTCATTTTTTCTCCCCCTCCATTTTCTTCCCCCTTTTCCCTCCTTCTCCTTCATCTTCTTTCTCTTTTCTCCCGCCCCTTTCATCTTCCTCCTCCCCTTCCAGCTCCTTCCCCTCCCTCCACTTCCTCTCTCCCCTTCCCTCTTCTTTATCTTCTTTCTTGGGTCTTTCCCTTCCCACACCTCTTCTCCCCTTCCCTCTAATTGCTCCCATCCTTTGCATCTTCCTCTCCTCCCTCCTCCCTCTCCCCAGTCTCCTCCAGCGTTTGCCCCATCTCCTCTACCTCCTCCTTTTCTCCCCTCTTTCTTTCTGTCTTCCTCCATTCCCCTCCTCCTCCCTCCCCTTTCACTTTTTTCTTTTCTCCTCCTTTCATCGTCCTCCTCTCCTTCCTCCCCGCCTCCTTCCTTCCCTCCTCCCATCGCTGCTCCTCTTCCTTCTCCTGTTCGAATCCAGCAAATCTTTCCCTCTCAGAAGGGAAACTTTAACCCCAATTCCAAAGGGGCAAAAGTTGCTCAAGCTGTATTTGCAGGTGGCTTCCGAACTCTTGGTCCTCTTCAGACACTGACTGAAGGTGAGCTTGGCAGGCCAGAGTTCCCAGCCTTTGCATAATAAATACCCAGGAGCTTGGCCACACCCACTCACCTTCTAGTGGCTCCAAAGAAGCTCTGCCCAGGCTGGCCTGGTGGCATTGCTGGACCTTCCAGGAGACCGGGGAGACACTAGATTTTCCCCAGGAGGGACCAACATGGCTCAGAGCAAAGGGGACATTTGTGAAGGTTGCTCAAAATACAGATCAACAGAAGGCAATCAACATTCTCCAGTTGTTGGGGAAGGTAAGGGTGGGTGGTCTTAGTGGTTGTGTGCAGGAAGAGCCTGGTTGACAGGGTTAGTTAGTGTCAGTTGCCAGGTGAAGATTCCCTCCTCTCTCTCCTTCCCATGCTCCCATGGTAACTACTCTGGCTCAGTCCTCACAATGAGGCTGTGTGGAGACACTGAGGCTCATGCTGAGATGGGAGTTTTATCTTTTTAATCATTTTTATTTATGTATCTTTTAAGACAAAGCCTCCTGGAGTGGAGGATGACCTTGGACTTTGGATTCTCCTGTCTCCATTTCTGGGGTGCTTGGATTAGAGATGTGTACCACCATGCCCTGTGTACTGCAGGTTGGGGTTGGAAACCAGGACCTGGGCATGCCTGGCAGTCACTCTATCCACTGAGCCACATCCCCGCCAGAGATGAGTTTTTCACGGTACCGTGTCTTTGCTCACGGGAGCAACTTAAACAACATTGCAGTCTAAAATGCCATCATTCCTTCTTTGCATTTATTGCCTGTCCTCACACTGTCCCCTCTCACAGATAACCAAGAGCCAATCACACCTATGGATGACAAGGACATGTGCTCACATCATGGGACCCCTGAGGAAGATGTGGGGGGCTGCCGCACCTAGACAGCTTCCCCACTCCTTGAAAGCTCCTCCTACACAGTACCTGGTACACTCTTTATTCTGGACATTTCAGATCAACTAGACCAATGTGAGGTTGTCCCGTTAATGACTCTCTGGTTTCAGTGGCTTGGCACCCTGCATATTCAGTCCATCCCCCTTTGATGCACGCTTCAGCGATTTCAAGGTTTCTGCTCTTACAATACCTCGACAGCTGCCGTGGCGTGAAGGTCCCTTGGGTAATGGTGCTTTTCCATTCGAGGATCGATTCTGGAAGCATGGCTGTGGGTCAGGGGTCACAAACGGTTGTGTTTTCATAAATACCAGGAGTGGGATTGGAATCTAAATATGTCTGACTCCAAAGCCCCAGAAAGAGCAGGCAGAGGATGGAGACAGGCCCTGGACTCTGCCGAGTCTGTCTGCAGTGCCCAGCCTTAGGGTGAGGATGCTGGTGTCCTAGCTGGTGGGGATTCAATGTGGACACAGCATTACCCACTCCCAGTGGCCACCTTCCAGGTAGGGAGGGAGGCGTGTCACAGACGGAGATCCTGGGACACTGGTGATGGAGATCTGGGGAGAACTTGAAATCTGAGGTTATGACCCATGAAGAGCAAAGACTTGGTAATTTTATGGATGGACAAGATACAGGAGTCCTCTCTACTCTGTCCAAGGCCTGGTGTAGGTGTGGGTACCATCTCACAATGGGAGGGGTCAGCTGAGTTGTCCCTCTGTTCCTCTGTCTCTCTGTCCCTTCTTGTTGCTCCTGGTATCCTGGATTTGCCATCTGCCAGGAAGAGACAGAGCCCTGGGAGGGGACTGGGGGAAAGGACAGTGGTAGGACCATAGGCCAGGAGAAAGAACCCAGCAAGGATATTGCTGACAGATGGAGGGACAATAAGGAAGGCAAGACAGCACAGGAGTAAAAAATTCCAGTCTGATGGAGGAGGCACAGAGAACTCCTAGTCTGATGGAGGAGACACAGGGAACTCCCATCTGATGGAGGAGGTGCAGGGAACTCCTAGTCTGATGGGAGAGGCACAGGGAACTCCCATCTGATGGAGGAGAAACAAGGAACTTTTATCTGATGGAGGAGACACACAGGTAACTCCTAGTCTGATGGAAGAGACACAGGGAACTTCCAGTTTGATGGAGGTGACACAGGGAACTCCCATCTGTTGGGGGAGACACAGGGAACTTCTAGTCTGATGGAGGAGGCACAGGGAATTCCTACTCTGATGGAGGAGACAGTTTCAACCTCAACCCTAAGGAACCTGGTCCTTGGGACTTCCAATTCTTGTGGTGAAGTAGAAAGCTCTGCTTGAAACACTAAGAGAGGCCACGTCACCAAGCAGAGACCAGAAGTGACAGGCAGCATGGCACAATGGAAAAGTTCATCTGCAGTCGCAGGGACTTGAGTTAGAATCCCTGTCTAGCAAGCTGTGTAACCTTGGCTATGTTTCCTTTGCTTCTCTGAGCCCAGCTACTCACAAGTACAGGTTTCATAGTTGAGAGTGCTTGGCTATGGCCATCCAGATCTTGGTAGGTTCTAGACTAACTGAGCTTGGGTAGGTTTGAAGCTAGCTGATTCTTGCAGAAGAGCCAAACCCCAGACCATATCTTGGCACCATCACCCTCAGTTCCCCTGGAGATGCCTCAGCCACTGAGGGTCTCATATGTTCTTGTTATATCTGTCCTGGAGAGCAGAGTCAAGCTGCCAGGAGCCAGGGTTGGCCCAAGAGCAAGCAGGTGCCCACTGCCTGGACTGGATGAGATGGGGGAGGGAGGTTGAGGGGAGCCCTGGAGGCTCCAGTTTGTAGTGAACAAATTAATGTTTGAGTGGCTCTGTTCTCCCCAGTCCCAAACACTGTGACTGCTGCATCTACCCCTCCAGTGTAGCCCGGTGATTCAGACAAACGTGTGTCGGGTGAGGGGTGCCACAAGCACAACGTTATACAGTAATTGCTCAGCCATCTTTTCACAGGTGATTTACCAGAACCAAGGGATCTGGTAAAGGCTAAACCAAAGAGCCAGGCTTTTTGACGTTATTGCCTTGTGAATAAAGTGGCTATCCTTTGCTGTAGATTTTTCGCTGTAGCTGACTTCCCTTTCTGATACATATTT